TGTGTTGTGATTGGTTAGCTGGGCCAGTGTGTGTTGTGATTGGCAGCACTCAGTGCCTGGTCGGGAAATGTCATGCCCCTTACCATAGCCGCCTGCGAGCTTCAGTGTAAATATTGCATCAAAATCAAATCAATTTGAGCGCGATTTAAACCCGGATGATTGTAAGCACTCTAAGTTTGTCTGCCTTGGGAAAGCTAGCGTGTCTCCGACATAGTGATTACACTCTTTGCCTTCTCTAGTGCAGCTCAACCAGGTCTCGTCCCATTCGTCGATATTTGTGATATCACAAATCCCGGAAAATATGTGTTGTAGTCCAAACTAGTCGTTCGTTGTAGTTTTTGAAAAGTGATTTCTGTTAAATAAAATATCTCCCTTTGAAGTGGACTTTGAGCTTTGTAACTTTGCAGATCTTTTTTATGCTCAAACAGCAACATTACAGACTAACTAAAGTTGAAAAATTGAAAAAGCATAATAGGACAAATTTAATTTAATTTATTTTATTTTATTAAATTTTTTTAGTATTTATTTAAACTGTCAGTCTGTACATTGCATATTCACACTAGTGGATGGCAAAAATTTACAGTTTTTATGAGCAAATTATTGCCTCATTCAACCACTTGGTTCAGAAACACTGATTCAAATTATCTGGCAAAAACAAACAACGCAATTCTAAAATTAAGTTATTCAATATTAAATTCTTGTTTGTTGAGCTATTGTATAAAAGTAATGTCACAATCACAATTCGGTTGTTTTTCTGACTATGATCGTAGCTGTGATTACCTGATATGCATCCTTTATTTTTACTTCTTTAGCTGGTTGATTATTAAGGGTGAAGCTAATGTTTTTTTTTTTTTTTGTGTGTGTGTGTGTGTGTGTGTAAACACAGTGATAGACTGGTCAACTGTCCTTAAAGGTGCTCATTTGTGGTGCTTGATATGACCAGTCAGCATAAGAAAAGTAAACTTGCATTCAACTTCGAGGAGATATTTTTCATAATCCTTTCATTATTACTTTCCAGATCTTTGTGCTTATTAAATACAATGGCACGACTCTTCTTCTGTCTGTCACAAGCTTTCAATATCACCCTCGCAAAGGATAATATTGGAATATCAAATAGGATGGCACAAAAAAAGGGAAAGAAATAAAAGAAAACACGAAAGATCACTCCATATTTTATGACAGAAATATAAATGTGAGTTCAGAGAGGGCTTTGACTCTACGCACTTTCAAATTCAACATCTGACATGAAAGACTTAATGAATATGCAATGCTTTTTGGCGGATATTGGAGTTGTAAATTATATATGACCTTGTTCTGAGGTATAGACTGAGGGGTGTGGTCACAGAGAGAGAGACAAAGCAAGAGAGAAACAGCTTGAGTATGTGATTGCCCAGCACTGACTGTATTGTACAGTACATGTGTGTAATGTAATGAAAAATATTAAACCATGGAAAATGTTAAACCATGAAACCAGCATAAAATCTCAGACTTTTGGACCCCACTGTATGTTAATACTGTATCTGGAGCATGGTGAAATCGCTCCATCAGACTGAACAGATTGTTTCAGAGGAGTGTGGACCAGTGGTCCGAACAGATGGTTTCAGACTGGAAGGTTCCTCTACGCATGGGGTGGAGGGTTGTGGAGTTCTGGATGACAACGGGTGGAAAATTTCGACTCACACAGATCACAGATTCTGAGCTGTCTCAGAACTAAATAGATCCACAGATAACTGACAGTCTGTTTTGATTAATCCAAATGCTGTCTCGGCAAGCATTTAGTCACATGCTCTTAAACATCCTCTTCTGGTATCTGACTGCGTTAAGCACTGTTGAAGATCTTTAAAAGCTCATTCTGGGTGAAATATGGTGTGTGCATTAGTAAGGAACTAGCCAGAAAGATTCATTAATAAAAGAAAATGGGTCTCGAGGGCTGGTGGGCAGCTACCCAACTTGAGCAGCTTACCCAGCATGCCACAGGAGGTGCTGTCTGGCTCCCTGACTGGTTCTCAGGAAGCATGATGGCTGTGATGTTCACCTCTCTTTTGAACCATGAAGTGAAAACACAAAGGCAAAACACCCAATGAAAGAGAAAAGGAGAGACAAGACCAAACGATGCACTGAAGACTGAAACTTCGTGAAACTTTACAGAGCAAACTAAAGTCTGTGAACTCGACAGATGCTGACGCTCTCACGGTAGATACCAACATAATCTTTGGAGAGCACGCTTCACTCTTGCTAATCAAAGTAAGAGGCATGTTTGAGCCAAGCTCAGTGCTCCCTGTGTTTAGATTGCTGTACTAATGAAGGAAAGCCACAGAGAACAGTAGAGAAAGACCAGTCATCATCAAGAACAGAAGAGTGCTCGCATTTACTTCTAGAGGACGAGAATTTCAGACAAGATCCTTTGGTAAACATTATGCATAGTCTGGTAATTCATAATCATGAAGACTGAGTCATAAAGGTCTGTACATCCTGCAGCAAAAATAGCTGAAGTAGAACTTTCAATCTGTTCTTTCTTTCATTTGTTCTTTCTTTTTTTCTCTCATTCATCCGATTAACTCCATTCATGGCTGTTTATTAATGATGAGTCTGGCCTTATGCCAAGTAGATATTCAAGTCAATGCTAGCCGTTATTTCAGTTTTTCACATTATTAACATTTTAAATCAACATTTACCAAGATTTACACTACACTTCAAAAGTTTGGGATTGGTAAGATTTTTTAAAAATGTTTTTTAAATAAGTCTCACCAAGGCTGCATTATTATTTTTTTTCAATGATGCAGTAAAAACAGTAACATTGTGAAATATTATTACAAACGGTAAACTGATTTCTATTTGAATATATTTTAAAATGTAATGTATTCTTGTGATGCAAAGCTGAATTGTCAGCATCATTACTCCAGTCTTCAGTGTCACATGATCCTTCAGAAATCATTCTGAT